AATTCTGTTTTTGCTTTGTCAGTATGGTGTATGGAGTGTAGATTGATGTGGAAAAAAAGTAATTTAAACAAGTTTTATCATAAGGCAGCAACATAACAAAATGTAAAAAAAATACTTACGCAAGGCACTGTATATAATATCAATACATACCAATACTACTGATTGGGCAAAGCCATGGGTTAATTGACACATTTCATGTGATTGGCACTCGTTTGAACCAATTTGTAAAAAAAAAAATTCTCCATTCCCCCTATCATTGATGTTTCTACTGTAATATAAATAAAAAGGTGGCTTTGGTTTCTCTGGTGTAATGCAGTTTAGTTGTACTTCAGTAGATGGTATCTGTGCATAACAGTGTTCTGGTCTTCACTTTCCAATTTTGCTCTGCTGTTGCTGACTATAAAGGGGAAAGAACTCATATTCAATCAACTGTGCAGTCCGACTCAGACAATGAGACTGGACATTTTCAATTCAGACCCCTGTCTTCCCATGCAACTGATAATTCAGTGACAAAATTTAAAGTGGGAATATCTGTTAATCATTAAATTCTGTAAAAAAAAAAAAAAAAAAAAAAAAAAAAAAACAGGAAGCCATCTGTCAAGTGATTCTTTTTATATAGGAATCGTTTTCTCTGGTGGGAGTGGAATGTTTTGCCTGTGGCCACCTGTAATTCCACAGCACTTTTCTTTATATTGCATTTGTGATGATAGCAGGAAAGCCTTTGGAAATTTAACTTGTATTTGGAGAATGTTTTCCATGCTGCTTATATTTTAGAATGATATGAATGAATATGGTGTTGATCTCAGAGTGTGTGAGATTCCCCATAGAAAACAGATTGATTTCACCTTGTTGTGTTCAAAACACAAGCTGCTCACAATTCTCGGCATCCAAGTGGTCTTTTTTTTTTTTTTTTTTTACAACTAATTCCATCTCTGTTTGGTACAGTGTTGTAAAAAGGCAAGCTATCAGTTTTGTTCACTTTCTTGCTATACCCAAAACACTCATCCTTACAGAGAAGACACAAGTGCTTCTCAGATTGCTGTATTGAACACGTTTTTATACATTCCTAATATATTTCAAATTGTGTTGCATCTACAGTATAAGTTAAATATCACACTGCATCTATAGTATGTTAAATATTTTGCTAATAGATCAACTTTGTTTATAGATCAACATAGTTTGACAGTAAATTGAGAACATGTTGCTATATGGCAACACTGTAATATAAATGAATTGCAGTAATGCATATACTGTGTAATATAATAATTGTAATAATAATTGTATTTATGCATACAAAACAGAATTTAAATTTGTTTCATTTGTTCAGAAAAATGAACACAGCTATCGGCCAGGAAGAAAGCCAAGAAGTGCACAACTGAATCTAAAACTTAGGATGAGCTAGGTTTCATAGCAATATTAAAGGATAAATAATTATGATTTTTATTTAGTTCCAGTTTGTAAAAGTAAAAGTTTTGATTCATACAATAAGCATGCATGTACAGTAATTACAAAAGAAATAAATTCTTTTTAAGAAAAACTACACATTTAATTTGATTTTTTTAACAACACATTTGCATGTTCATGGTGCTTTGTTGTTTGTTTATTGGTCACATGACATGAAAACAAGTAAATGTTTTATATTGTTTTTCTTTAAAAATAATTAATTGTATTCATATTTTATGATTTCATTAATTATAATCATATATATATAACAGATTTTTGTTTCAACAGAAAGCTAAGAATTATTGTGCCCTGACTAAGCTTAATCATAAACTAAAATAATTTAATAATTTTGATAAATAATTTTATTTATTTATTTGTTTGTTTGTTTGTTTTTTTTAAGTTGATTGAGACAGAGGCCAAATTCTGTCATTTTGTAGCATTTTATTTTTTCTTTCCTAAATCTCCTTTCTGAATCATGTTGAGGTTTATTGCACCAAAAACAATCATAATTTAGTTTACAATAATTTTTACAGATTTCCTACAATTAATTAGCCTGTTTTTGCTCCATTCAAGAATTCAATCAGCACAATACACTGCAAACTGACATTCACATCTGGCTCCATTTTGATATGGAACATTTACTTTGCAAACACTGTTTATGTTAACTTCAGTGTGCTCATAGGTGATTACTATCATGATGATTTTTGAATGAGTTATAAATGGCAGTGGGGACTGGGGAGGGAGCTTTGCTTTAGTTTTTTTCTTTTCCTTTTTTTCTTTGTTTTAGAGGTAAAACTTTTATTTAAAAACAGAAAAGAAAAGTCAGTTTTATGTGATATTCTTTTAAAAAAGGAATTATTTTCCTTAAAAATTAATTAAAACATGGTTAAGATGTGATTAATATTATTATGGTATAAAAAGAGTAAAATTTGCATAATATTTAATAAACAAAAATGCAAGGCGTATATGTTGTGAAAGGCAAATTCTATGCAAATCTGCAGAGATCTGTGGGGAAAGATTCCATGTGGGCCTATAAGAAAGAGGGAGAGAGTGAGTGGGTAGCCACAGGGAAACCAGTCACAGAATAAGTACCAGGAATAATAAAAAGATTTACAAATGACTAAATGTGTTTAATTAGCACTATGTTCCAATGTGTCTTACTCACCATCACTGAATAAATAAAAGGGTTAGAGAATAATTGGTCATCATTAAAACCGCAGGGTGTACCTCTTGGTGTTTTTGAAGTTGTCATAAAGTCTTAGAAAGGTTTTTGGTCAGCCGGGTTTGGTGAAGGTTATTTCATTAATCATGCTAAGTACATAAAGAGAATCGACTGCACAGGAGAAGAGCACTCGAGGGCCCAGGGAGAGATGGCCCTGCTCAAGAAAATTAATGAAGCACACAAGCCCTCAGTTATACTGAGGATCTCAGGGTTTATTTGGGAAACCGATAAGGCAAGACTGGTGTGTCAGTGTGGAAGACAGAGGCATTAACAAATGGAGTTTAGTGCAAGTTATTATCCAAGATACTGAAAAGAGAGCAGAACAGCAAGATAATTCTTTAAGGGACATGACGAGACAGACTCCAGCATTTTTATATCATGGTAATTGCTTTATTTTTGTGAGACTGAGAGTGTTGTACTCTGTCGTGCAGCAGGAGCCAAAGTTAAGTGAAATATGTTCCAGTTCCATAAATATGTTCCTTGTTCCAGTCATGCACTAATGCATTTGTAGTCCTTCTGAGAGCATTTTGTCTCCTGACAGACTGTTGTATCATAATCTAATATATTAGCATTATCTTATACAGTGGGGCCCAGCAGTATCAGACCACATTGAAAATCTGGGATTCCAAATGTAATTTAAAACATGGAAATAAGCAATGTTTTATTGTTTCTGACCATTTAGAATGAAGAAATAATATGGTCTTAACTAAAAAAAGAAATAAGATATAAGATATGCACTATTTCTAGGTCTCTAAATCAAATAAGCAAACTTGTGACGCTGACCATGTTAACAAGTCAAAAAACTTCCACTGATGCACACAAATTACTCCTTGGAACATTCTCAAAAGTGATAAACTCAAGTAAATACTTATCACCGTTTGAAAGATCCCAACTCTAATGTACCCCAAAAGCTTGAAAGGGATAAGAGAGAATTAATTTAAGGTGATCTGTTCATTTCAATAAATTAATACCCAATGAATATGATCACCTCAAAGGAATGATTCACTAAATAATGAAAATTCTGCAACACTTTATTCAGCCTCATGTCATTCCAAATCCATAATACATTCTTTCTTCTGTGGAACATAAAAGGAGGTGTTTTGAAGAAACTGTTCAGACTGTTCTTTGTCATGCATTGCTCTACCATAACCAGGGGCTACCAAGGTGCCATAAAATCATATGACTCATGGGCTGTATTCCAAGTCTTCTGATGCCATATGATAGAATTGAGTGAAGAACAAACCAAAATTGAATTAAATCTTTTTTAGTTTGACACATTTTCAAATATAGTGAATCACATATTTTCATTGTATGTAAAAGAGCACAGTCTTAAGAAGGTTTTTCTTTTGTGGGCCACGAAAGAAAGTCATGCAGGTTTGGAAAGACATGAGTATGAATAAATGATAACAGACTTTGTATTTTTGGGGGAACTATCCCTTAAGTGATTCAGAGAATGACTAAGAACATTCAAATGTCTTCTCCCTTCCTTTGAAGGAGTAAATTTATTCCCTCAGGTGTGTCATTATGTCTATATTGTACATTTGTCGTAAATTCCCAGAGAAACCAGGTTTAATCTAATGAGCTGGGAAATATTTCTCTGCCACAGGTGTCCAATCTGTTTGCTCGAGATGAGATCGACGAGATTATCAGTGACCTCATTCCAGTCATGAAGCGAGAGTTTCCACGGCGTCCACCCACAAATGAAAACCTACATGAGTATTTTATGAGCAGAGTGAGGCAGAACCTTCACGTGGTTCTGTGCTTCTCTCCAGTCGGGGAGAGGTTCCGTAATCGAGCTTTGAAGTTTCCTGCTCTCATTTCAGGATGCACCATGGACTGGTTTAGTCACTGGCCCAAAGATGCTCTGATCGCAGGTCAGTAATTTGAAATGTCAGATCCATTAAGGTTCAATATACCCAAGGGGAACCCTAAAATCTGGCAGTGATTCTAATGCCTTAATACCGGTAAATAAAATATATCATGTCTAAGAAGGGATACAGCACATTTTTGAGCGAGTGCATTTACTGAAATTTGTGTTCTGGATCAAACAAAACTAGAATGGAGCATACAATGATTGGTTTGACAGAGTGGCAATATTTTACTGCTGTTTCAAATGGTTTTGGCCCCATTTGACCCCATTTTGGGATTTGTATGCTGCTTGTGGAATGAAAAAACAATTAATTCCAGAGACCCAGCATCTATAAACAATGTATAACCGGCCAAATTGCAGACCAGATTTACCTGTTAAAATCAGCACTCAAACCAATGTCTTATAATGCTAATTGTCTATTCCGAAAATAGCCATCATGAATTATTGTCAGAGTACATTTGTGTGCCTGTACAGTTTGATGCAGAAAACAAGTAATTTAGGAATGACACAAAATGATCCACAAACCATTTAAATCAGTCACGTTTTAGAGAACATATCTTCTGCTCTGTTAGAACATGAGGGTTAATGTAGCTGAGAATGGAACAATAATTTAAACATATTCAAAGACAATCAAGAAAAGCATCAGCAACCAGTCGTAGCAAAATGAATGTGATTGTAGCTATTGCTAGATAAACAGTATATATACATATTGTGCAGAGAAATAGGAAAAACATGCTTTTAATTTGTTTTTTGTTAGTGTCAGAACACTTCCTGTCCACGTATGACATAGACTGCACTCCCGAGGTAAAGGGGGAAGTGGTTCAGTGCATGGGCTCTTTTCAGGATGGGGTGGCAGAAAAGTGTGCAGATTATTTTCAGAGGTACCGCCGTTCCACACACGTCACACCCAAATCCTACCTGTCATTCATCCATGACTACAAGACCATCTACAAAGAAAAGCACTTAGAGGTTCAGACTCTCGCTGACAGGTCAGTATAATCAGAAATAGAATGATGAGAGCTTAAATTAATATAGTATAATGTCCTGACTTTGAAGGGTGAATTCACTAAAGTGATGTGCCACTTTTGTGCATTGTATTTGTGCAAGAAAAAAAAATTTATAACCAGGTTAAACAGGTTATAAACCTAGTGTTGAAATAGTGCTGCGCTGTGTATTTGAATAAAGTCATTGTCAATCCCTTTTGTCCAAACATGTCACCTTTCTATGTAAATTAAACTACAGATTCTGCCTTATGCAAAAACCAGACATTATTTGCCTGGCATAATTACTGTAGTATTACTGACCAAAGGAAATAAGATGGTAGATTGGATGCTGTGGCATGATACAGTAAAATCTACTCAAAGTATGCCAGATTGCAGTAATATTCTGCATCCTCCACAGCCTACAACAATATCTGAAATTGCACTGTGCATGGACATTTGTGGGTGCATTTGTATTGTTACCTAATTTGCATAATTCAGTTAGTCCATGCAAATAAACAGCACTATCAGCAGGCACATTCTTAGTGGATTCGCCCCTGATTTTCTGTAAAAAATTTATTACGGAGTCTGGAATGTGTTGTAGACTTTCATTTCCAAGTGTATTGTTTCATTAGGATGAACACCGGCCTCCAGAAACTCAAGGAGGCCTCTGAGTCTGTTGCTGCCCTCAGCAAAGAACTGGAGGTGAAGGAGAAAGAACTTCAAATAGCCAATGAGAAGGCTGATATGGTAAATGTTTTGTTAATGATTGTGTACCTCCCGACATAACTTTCAATTCTGATTATTTCAAAATGTTATTTATTACTTCTAACCATAGTTAGCTGGTAAAGGTCAACAAAACTCTCTCAAAGTCCTGGTCAATTTTAACAGAGGCCCCTCAGGAGTGTGTCAGCTCCTCTGTCCACTTCATTCTATACACGATTGATTGCTTGAGTCATCATCCCAGAAATGAAATTTCCAGGCCATATTGAAGTTCTTGGTTTATTGTACATGGACAGGAATACAAAGGATTATTACTCAGAGATCAACATGTTTGTGTCCTGGGGGCAAAACGAGTCAAAAGATATTTGTCCTTAAAATAAATAACAGACTACAGGCCTGTAGTTATTAACGTCCAACATATTGTGCAGGTCAGCTTGTGCAGACTGACAGCATGCTCACCTTGAAGACAAGTGGATAGCCTCTGCTTCAGGTTACACTAGAGCAGAGATGTGCAGCTCTTCTCCTGGAGCACCACTGTCCTGCAGAGTTTAGCTCCATCCATAATCAAACACACATGAAAAATCCAAACAAAGTCTTCAGGATTGCTTGAAGTTATAACAAGCAGGTGTGTTTGATTAGGGATGGAATTAAACACTGCAGAACAGGTCCGAAATTGCCCTCTTTGCACTAGATGGTTTTTTTTCACAGACTTTTTAAACAGTTCATTCTGACAGCAATTTTCACGCTCAGTGACACCAGGTCGCTGTACTGTTGGTTGTTTGTAGGTGTTCCTGCTGTTGGATGTCAGGGCTCCAGAGAGAGGAGGATTCAAGTTGCAGGGTAAAATAATATTTAACACAGAAAAACAAGGGCTAGACAAGATCAAGTCCAGACAGCCATTAAAGGGAGAGCAGTCTGCACAGGAGGATAGGAATGACGGTTGAGGCAGAGGAGCAGCTGGCAGTGGTGGCAGGTGAGGCGGGGAGAAGAGGAGAGGGATATGGCAGCGGGGGAAATAAATGGTGGGATGACGAAGACAGCCCAGCAGCCAGGAAGGTGGGGAAGCTGGAAAAAAAACAACAAAAAAAAAAAAAACAAGACTAAACTGAAACTGAATGTGAACCTCCAGAAAGAAAGAGTTCAAATAAAGAGGAGAAAAAAATAAATATGAATCTGAAAGAGGGATGTTGAGGTAAAAGAAAAAAAAGAAAAAGGAAAAATAAAAATGTAAACTGGTTATGCAAGTGGGAGCTCCGTAAAAAACACCCTACACCCTATCAAAGCAATTATTAAAATGGGAAAAAATAAGACAACTATTGTAGACAAGATTAGAGAGCAAGACATGAATGACTAAATGTAAATACACGATCTAGCTCAAGACTCGGCACACACACAAAAAAAATAATAAAATAAAAAATTGGCAGTATAAAGGGAAATATGAAAGGAAACTAACAGGTGTGGAGTGGTAACAGGTGAGGATGATAATGAACTGACAAGATAGGAAGAGGGCTGGCCAACAACTACCAGTTAATCACATGGCTAAACACAACAGAACATAAAAACCATACACCAAAACACATGGTCAGACAAACACAACAGTCATGTGCCCCAAATAAACAAAGAGACAAAACACAAACACAGCTGTATCGAAGACCCCCACGGAGGAGTGGATGACCAGGGCGGAGTCCAGACCGCAGCAATGATGGAGGCCCACGGTGTAGTCGATGGAGGGAGGAGCCATGATGGAAGAAGGGCTGTGTTTATCTGACCCGACTGACGGAGACGGAGCTGTTGGAAGAGGAGCCCAGGGCAGAGACGGAGAGCCGCAGAGCCAAGGCGACACTGAGGATCCGGAGGGCCATGGCAGAGGTGACGGCTGAGGCGACTGAGGCGCAAGTGAGGATCCGGAAGACCGCGGTGGAGCCGGAGCAACAGAGGACCAAGGTGGAGCTGAGGGGAGGGAGGAGTCCAACGGAGCCAGAGGTATGAAGGAACGAGGCGTAGCAGGAGGAGTGTAGTCCCAAAGCGTAGGCAGGTGGACGACCGACCAAGGCGGAGCCGGAGGGACCGGCGGAGCTGGTGGGCTGACGGCCATGGTGGAGACGAGGGAGCCAGGAGCCAAGGTGGAGCCAATGGGTCGAAGGGCTGAAGTGGAGTCCGGGTCTCGGAGGCTGAAGGCAAAGACCAGGGATCCCCCAACCATGATGTAGCTGGAGACTGGAAGTCCCGCAGCGAGTCCACACAGCATACTTCCCACAGAGGTGGAGCTGAGGAATAGAAAGGGAACAGAGGAGACAGAGCTGAGGGGCTAGCTGGCAGAGACAGAGGGGGAGGGAGTGGGAGGCTGGGTGGGCCCTTTTTAGAAAACAGTTCAGGGATAGGAAACACAGAGAGTTCATAAACGACCTCCTTGGCTGTGGCTTTGCAGGCAAGAGAGTTCATAAACAGCCTCCTTGGCTATAACAGAACAGACAGAGAGTTCATAACTGGGCGCCACCACCACGCAAGGAGCTGAAGCAAGCTCCGCCGCCTTTGGAGGTTCTGCAGCCTCAACAGGCACCTCTGGAGATCCTTCGGCGGCTGCCATTGGCTCCCCCATATAGGAAGTTCTGTAGACATGGGGATTACTTCTGGGACAGAATGGCTTGAGAGCGTTGGTTTAGGGGTAGCGTCCCTCTCAACCTCCCCTACTGTAAAGGGGGATTCACAAAACTGCAGGACAAATTCAATAAATCTAATGTTTGGATCAAGTCCACTCCAGAAACAGTCTTTTACCATAGCCTCATCACCAGGCATAAGGTGGCTATACAAAAGGAACTCCTCCACATAGCGGTGACCGTGATGTCACCAAGTACAAAATGTTGCTTAAGTCTATATTTTTGGACAGTTATGTTGATCCAGGATCAACAAATGATGTTGATCCAGGATCAGCAAATGATGTTGATCCAGGAACATGTCTTACTTGGCAAAATCACGGCGACCTCCACATAGCATTCAATGGGTCGGCCATTCTGAAAAATGGAGCAGAGCACACTTATGGGGTCGCAAAAAACTCCTGCTAGATCCATAATGTGGTCTGTTGTTCTGTAACGTTGCAGAGACGAGATGAGGCAAACAGAGGTGAGGATCTACGTGCAGGAGTTTAATAAAAATTCAGGAAACAACAAGTAATCCAACATGGGTAAAACAAGGAACTCAGACAAGGGCAGGGAGCAACCATCACAGACATTCAACAACTGACAAAGACTTACTGAATCACTGGGGTATTTATACACAGAGACGCAAACAGGATAACAAGGTAACAAGACACACCTGGGAAAGGAATCAAGACAACCAATGAAACAATAGGACTACAAGTTGACTACAAAAAACACTCTAGACAGGAAGTAACACAAAAGTCTAAACACAAGACAGGGGAAGATCATGACACTATCAAACCAGCATCCTGACACTGGATGCCCAGTGGGTTGTGGTCATAGCTTTTGGAAATCTAATCTCAAATGAGATGTATTGCTAGTAAAAGTAAAATTTCACTTTATTTTGACTTTTTTTCTGTCAAAAAAGTACATTCTGTTGGGAAAATATTTATATGCCTTATGGGAAGCGACATTTTTTTCCCTTTCCAAGGCAATTAGAACATGCCATTTTGAAGGCTGTTAATTTGATTTATTCATTTAGATTAATTTATTTTTAAAAATCTCCACAGTCAACTCAGCTGCTGATACTGCAGGCAATAGGCCTCGCCAAACCAGGGGGTTTCCAAGCATGTTGAAGTTGAACTGTTTTTAATTTGAAATACTCTTTAAAAACATGGCTCTCTTGGCACAAGATGTTGATGCACTTTTATTTTATTTTATTTATTATTATTATTTTTAACAATCAATGGCCCTAGTTGTTTAAGTGTTTCTGGCAGTCTTACAGAATTCAATCAGATCTGCATCACAAATTATTGCAGTAACTTGTCAGAACTGATACAATCACAGATTTCTCACCTTGTAAAAACTGCCATTGATGATCTATTAAAGATGATCTGTGTTAATTGCTGCCCTTCTCTCCAGATGATATACGAGTAGTCTCTCATTAGTCAGGCTCAGAAGATAGTTTTCCATGGGGATTGTGCTTGTGTTGTCTTTATAGTCAGCAAATAAAATAAAAAAAATGCACTCTATTTTCTAAATGCATGTTATACATTTTATTGTGAACAATTCATCAGTGCATAGGTTTAATTTCTTTAAAATATTTTGATTTTGTAATTTTAATTAAAATGTCATAATTGGACCTTCCATTGAAAATAACAGGCTTCTTCCTGGTGACATATGCAGGACTTTGTCCAATTAGACCACTTAAAGGGGTCATGAACTGCCTTTTTTTATTATGTTGTACTGTTCTCAGAGGTCCACTTATGATGTTATCAAGATTTTTAAATAAAAAACATAATATTTTAGCAGTAATAGGCTATTTTCTGTCCTGTTTTGACCCCCCTCTCATCAGAACGCTCTGTATGAATAGGCGTGGCAGATTGTAGACTCGGAAGTTAACGCCCTCCGCTATGATTGGCTAACAGTTTTGCATATTTAAAAATCTGCATGAATGTTTGACAGCCGACATCCTTCACAGATGGACCCTGCTGTGATATGGGTTAAAAACGATCTGTAATAACAGACAAAGCAATTGTGACCAGGTAATAAAAACAGTTACTCACACTTGTGTGGTGCGTACTGTCGGATCCAATAGAGTCGGTACTGAATTGTCTTTTAATTTCAGTCTTTCAGAAAATCGCGCATCGAATTGTGTCTTGTTTGTAAACGAATCCACGGTGAAATGAAGTGAACAACCTTTTATAGACGCGGTCTGGAACTTCATTAAAGATAAAGCTAATCCATTCTTTCCTAATGTTGGGATCTGATGGAAGGTTATGCAGAGACGGTGTTTGTCCACAATTTGGCTATGCACAGTGTCTTGTTGTCTTCTGAGCCATCTTTATCGTCTGGTTTCTGTGTAAACCTGCGTTTGTTTCTCTCGTTATTTACACTACATTTGCGAATCAGTGGGCGGAGCTAAACAGGCAGTGCTGTAGAAGCAGTCATTGATCTTCTTCTGCGGAGGCGGGGTTTACCCACTCTGTTATGTCATAGAGCGGCACATTCCACAAACTGTCATTTTGGCAGATTGGCTTCAATATATTTTTTATGAGAAAGTTTTGAGTTCTGAAACTTACAGGATGTTTTTATAAGGATGTTATGATATAATTTTTATAAGGATGTTTTATAAACATCATATACGATGTTTTACGATGACCTCTTATATGTCAAAAGATCAAGGGAATTTAGATTTCTCAGTTCATGACCCCTTTAAACCACAGCTCTGCAAGCTTGCGTTCATCTACCGCCACATTTGAGTGCAACACCCACCCATCTCAAAATCCAATCAACAACTGATGCATAGAACCAAGTCCCCACCCTGGAGTTTTTCTTTTTCAATATTTTGTTACACTCTGATGTACATCACAATACAGAAGAAAATATCTGTTGATACTTCTGTTTCTTTATGACTTTAAAGTTGTATGGTATTGTAGTCATTCTACTACGTTCTATTCTGTTCTAAATGAAATCCGTCATGCTGCATAAAGCTTGAAAGTAACCATTCAGTGAAAGAACTGCCTCCCAGTCACAGGCTAACTAAAGATCAATACTGTGCTCTGAAACATTAGGATGACAAATTAACAGCCCCAGAGTCTGAATTATAGCATGAAATGCTACAGGTATTACAGCATTGATTTTAGTGTTTCCATTTGTTCTCATTTTTGTTTCAGGTGTTGAAGGAGGTGACTGTGAAGGCTCAGGCTGCTGAAAAGGTCAAAGTCGAAGTTCAGAAGGTCAAAGATAAAGCGCAGGCCATAGTGGACAGCATCTCTGCAGACAAGGCCATTGCTGAAGAGAAGTTGGAGGCAGCAAGGCCTGCTCTGGAAGAGGCTGAGGCAGCACTGCAGGTCAGGAACAATATGGAGCGATTACATGGCAACATTGGCGAGGAGAGAATGAGAGGAGTGTGATGTTTGTGGGGCCTTATGGTGCCTGCAGCTTCAGTGTAATTACATGCTGCCTGTGAGGATGTAAAAATAGATTGTGCGATGGCAGGGTTGCTGTAGGGGGTCTCGTAGCGAGCAGGGGTCTGACAGCAACTGCCTCTAACCAACCCCACACACCACACACCCACTCACTCATATAACCACACAAACACATACCCCACCTCTCCCCTCCACCACCTGCCCACTGTGTCCCTCCCATGAATCTGTCCATAATGCATCCCATCATACCTGGGACTCTTTCTTTTTTCTGTTTTGATTTTTCTGTGCACATTTCAATATGTCTGCTCTAGATGACACAGATCACTTCCAGTTTAGTTGCAATAGTTCAATAACAGTTATTTCAATAACATTAATAACTAAAATTTAGCTACATTACTATAGCTTATAGCTTATGAATATATGTTAAAATATACTTTACTTATTTGGCATAATATTCTAATCAGATATTTTATACATTTTGAATGATTTATTGAGACACCCATATATGAGAAATACTGCACTACGTTGTTTTAAGTTAGTTTCACAAAGCTTTTAAAGCTCTCAGTATACTCAAAACGAAACTGAAGAACTTGTGTAATGTCATTTTAAACAAAATCAGGCCAAGACAAAGTCTGTATCACTGTTATGTATTTCCTGAGAAAGGAACCAGATGCTTCATCATGATATTGACGCTATGGGAATGCCTTCAGTGTAACTGGTTTCTGAAGCATATATGGGTACACGCCCATCTTGATTCAGTACCATACTCATATGATGTCACTATGTGCACTGGCATACTATAATAGGGCGTCCGTAAAACGTCATCATCTTTGAATTGTCTTAAGGAGGATGCACAGGCATGCCTGAAGTATGGCAACACAATGCAGCATCGTGTTCCCTTGTCAGGGAACTGGAATGAATGAATGAATACACACACGCACACATATATATATATATGTATATATATATATATA